TGCACTGGCCTGGGAATGCCTTGGGATCCCCCAGTCAGAGCTGGTAGATGTGGCCCGGGAAAGGGAAGTTTGGGGTCCCCTGCTGGAGCTGTTGCCCACGCGACCCGACCCCGGAGAAGCGGTTGAAAATGGATGGATGGACCTTTTATGTAACCGTAGTGGACCGTAGATGACAACCAGCTACAACCATCATTTACCATCATTACCGGCACTATAAGACCAATGCGTCCAGGTCGCAGACCGGCTGGTGATTTGTCGCCGTAGCAGTCAAACGTTTGGCGTCGGGGCGGATGGGTGGGGAGGTGGAGACGGTGCTTTCAGGGTCCGATTGATACTGCGAGGTGCCTCCGCTCCCGCTGCCCCCCTCGCCATCTACGACTTAATCTTCGGCTGCTCTCCAGCTACGCCGCCTGCCAAGGGCTCCTTTTAGAATAACTTATTTTCCCTGTTAAGATGGTTCAGCTACTGTAGAGGAAAGCAGTAGGGCCGAGATCCTCCTTGTGGCAGTGGCAAGTGGGTGGCAACTTTGTGGCAGGCAGCGGCAATCGCCAGTAAATCAGTCGCAAGTCCGCGGCCGGCGTCACAACGGCACGCTGGGTGGGAGGAGCCAAGTCTTCCCAGAAACGACTGTTATTTGTACGACAGGTCAGCTGCTGTAAATAAGTTTATTTTATTTTATTTGAGACACGTGAGCCCCCGTCTTCTTATTGCAGAGGCTAATTTCAGGTTTCGACCGGCGGGTTCCGTGTGGGGGGTAGGAGGGCTCACGTGTCTCAAATAATATACAGGGCTCTCAAGTTTGATGCCACTCACTTGCCACTGCGACAAGGAGGATCTCGCTGTCACTCGAGAAAAGGGCGCCGTCTCTCGCTCTTTAATCTCATGAAGTGCTCGGCCAAAACGACAGCTTTGTTTCTCCATATCTCGCGCCGCTCAGCATCTCGCCGCCGTAGACCGAGCTTTGGCATGTTTGGCAGAGCGCCTTGAGCGCCGTGTACAACCAGTATGGATCAACCAATTTAAATTGTTTGTGCTTCATCAATTAATGTTTCACACAAATAATGTGCCGCATCATACATATTTTTATATATTAATTTCAAACTTTTCAAAAAAAAATTAAAAACTTTTAATTTATTTATTGTAAATAACCTCTCGCGGCCCACCTGCAGTACCTTCGCGGGCCACACTTTGGGAGTCAAGCAGAAAGTTTGTGTTACACTCTACATTGTCCAATCCTGCTTACTCCCCCCATAGCTGACCCAAAAGAAACTCCTTTTGTGGATCCTCTTGTGGACCAGAAAAAAGCAATTGAGATTTTATTTGTAAATGCAAATATCGTAATGAAACTTATGACGTATTCACAACTTTTAATCAGAATATAGTCAACAAGTCTATAGCAAATCAACTAATTCATCTATATCAACTATATCTAGTATAAGCATCAACTATTTCCTATTTCTTTGTTCTCTATAGTGGTTATTGGCATGATACACCTTACAGTACAGATGTTTTGTCTACAATAGATCAATATCAACTAGAAAGCATCAATACCGTGTTGCATATTTTTCTACTGAATATAATAGCCAATAGCAATCAGCACTTGTTCTTTCTCACACTAAGATTTTTTTACTGTAATGTAATTAATTCATAGTTCACATTTATTGAAACTCCCAAAATAAAATGAATGCCCTTTTCGGGCCGATATAATGACTCACTTATACTGTGCATTACTTACATAAAATCATACAATTCTGAATACCTTAATTTCTATTAAAAGTTTAATATGATAATAAAAGATGATATTGTTGTTTATGGATTCAACATATTTATCCTGTATTAAATGCATTTTGTCACATAATTCGAAAGCACAATCTATTCCATTTGTATGTTTTTCTTTCACGTTTTGAAGATGCTTGCCTTGTTTTTAAGGCTGTACATGTGCTTGCGCTTTTTACATATAATCAGTTCATAATAAAGATAAAAGTGGCAGGGTAACAAGGAAAATTATCTGAGGGATAGTGTTGTAAAATACAAACAAATTGACCTTTTGCTTTGGCCCAATAAGTTGAGGTGAAAAGGGAAATCCTGATTTATTTTTGCACCATGAATAAAATTCTTTATGTTGTTGTTCAGGCTAAAAGTTTAAATTTACACCCATTCAGCGTGTCTCTAAAGCATGTTGGTCCGACAGGAACGAGACTTCAGTATCTGAAGTGTAACAATGACCTTAATTGATTTTCTGAACCAGGGGTAGAGAATGGCATAGATCAGAGGGTTGAGACAAGAGTTACAATTAGTCAACCATATTACAAAGGTTACAGATGAGGTTGTGTACACGTTATTTTGGGATGTTAGAACAAAACAAAAATATGGACAAATACATATCAGAAACACAACTACAACAACACCAAGATTCCTGGCTGCTTTCATTTCAGACTTTTTAACGGTTACTTTCATTGTCACAACTGCAATGTGAGACCGCATGGCACGAGCCTGATACACAACCACACCAAATATTCTAATATAAAGAATGATAATAACAGTAATGGGAAAAATGAATGTAACAATTAGATCAAAAACATTAGCGATGTAGTTCATGTCAATGACACACTCTCCTATGCAGGAGTTATACCTGCCTGGATGTTGCAGGTTATTCTTCATCAGCAGACTGTAAAATAAAGCAGCAAACATCCAACACAGACAAACACAGACTTGAACTCTTTTTGGTTTGACTTTGGTGAAGTAATGCAGAGGATAACAAATAGCCACATATCGATCCACTGATATGAGCACCATGGTTCCTACTGAGGACGTCATAATAATAGATAATAGAACCAACCAAAGAGAACACATGAGATCACCGAGCAACCAGCAGCCGTCTGTTATCATTATTTGAAAGATCATGAAGAGACCGACGAAGAAATCTGAGACGGCCAGAGAGAGGAGGAGGAGGTTGGTGGGGGTCTGGAGCTGCCTGGAGGGAAACAGATAAAGATATTCGAATCAATAATTCTGGGATTATGGCATCTATCAGATATAAATAAACAATACAATAAAAAGGAATTACCAAAATCTACAAATTTGTAACACAGGTTTTTATCTACCACTTTCACAAATAAATGAAATATGTCACTACTTGAAGTGGGAGATGGAGATGATGACCAGCAGGTTGAGAGCCACAGTGAGCAGAGAGATGGAGGACAACAAAATATAAATCAACATTGCTTCTAAGTGAGGACGAATTGTCTTTCTGCACTACTTGATATACATGTGAAATAGTTATAGGTATAAGATAAAATAGACAACAACTATAGACTGGTCTCTCTTCTTCTTGAATTTTACACAGTAGACCACCAGATCCTTATTTCCTCCCTTCAGTGTCTCAGGCTCTGCTCTCTAAATTCCTTCCTTGATGGCCGCACCTACCTGGTAACCTGGAGAGGATCTGTGTCGGAACCTTGTCCTCTACAAGGACACCACCACTACTACTACTACTACTTACTGCTGGAGTTCCTCAGGGTTCTGTCCTGTGCCCCCTCCTCTTCTCACTTTACATTACAGGTAATGTAATTACTCAGGGAAATTTTGACATGGAACATGGGGCAGCATGGAATTGAACCACCAACCTTGTGATGTCATTCACTCGCATGGCTTCTCCTACCTCAGCTATGCCGATGACACCCAACTAATTCTCTCCTTCCCTCACTCGGACACCCAGGTGGTGGTACAGATCCATACCTGTCTGACTGACATCTCTCCGTGGATGTACGTTCACCATGGCACCACGTGCCCACAGTGGCTTGTTATTTATACGACAACAAGCTACACTTTCCAGATTTGACTTTGTGGACTGATTAGTCACAGAAGGGCCTTTTGTCTGAACAAAAGGAGGCAATTCTTGGTTTCGCTGACCAGATTAAACATTTCCTCTTTGCCAGACACAGAGATTGGAGTTAGAAAACTTCATTCTTGTAGTTACGTAATGCTGACATCTGCCTCCTAAACTACTCTCTCGTTTACACACACAGACACAAACACACACACATTCAACCTATACATGACGGACTCAAGCCCGTGAGACTGGATTTGTTCTAAGCGCTTTACACGACAAACATCAACATTGCGTCATCGCACTCTTGTGAATCCCTCTCATTAAGGATTCACACCTCCTGTATCGATGTCAGATGATTGCGAACTGTTTATTGTCAGAGGGATCATTCCAGTCAGGTGTTTTCATCCATCTTCCAACGTGAACACATGATCTAAATTAAACACGATGCAAACTCTGTGGAGACAAAGAATTTCACCTGTCAACATGTGATGCAACCTCCTCTGACAAGTCCAACAACTACTCGTTAAAGTTATACAAATATTCATAATTCATTTAAGTCTCGATTCAGACTTCTGGGCCATGTTAATACTTGAAGTATAAAGTATATATGTTTAAAGATGACTTAATCAGTTTATATAAAGAAATGTATGTGTTCTCAAATCCTTTGCCTTTGAAATCTGACAGTTTAGCACAACCTAAAATTGGGCTCAAATGTAGAATACAATAAGAAAACGGAGCGTCTCATCCAGCCGAGGAAACGCTGCCTGCCGTCGCCAGAGAACAGAGCAGAAAGGTCCGACAGTCTTTAAACGGGTCTTCGTGTTTCTGTGAAGCAGCGCGGCTTCAGCCCGCTAACAGTCAGCTAACAGTCAGCTAACCCGAGACAGCCGAGCTAAACTAACGAAGCCACGTTCAAACTCGCCGAAGCGGAAAATAGTCGTCGCGGTCCGCAGTCGGTGCACAAGAACCACCGCTGCGAGCGCGCGTTCTGAGTTGGTGGATGACGTCATCATGACGCGTTAATATCCGCCGTACTTTGTCTGTCTGTTGTCTGTCAGCTGCGTGCGAATTTAGGGGAAAGAAAGTATCGTGACTTCGTCAACCACCAACATGAATTCGTCTCGTCTCGTTAACGAAAGTTAGAATAGATTTAGTCATAGTTTTTAACCCTTATGTTATGTTTAGGGTCAATTTGACCCATTTCAATTTTTGTGTTGACCAAAGTGCAGGTTATCCTTACTTTTTTTCCACGAAATTTTCTGACTTTTCCTCATCTAGGGTCATGAACTGCTGTGTAAAATCTGGACACTTTGATGTGTCGTGGAGTGTCTGCACACAGTTTGTATACAAAGATGATGTTGCGGGTCATTTTGACCCAGACACAAAGTGGCTGTTCAAATCCCAAATAAACATGTCTCTTTGATGTACTTTATTATGATTGCCTCTGAAAAGCCAATCAGAACCAGGTGTTTATGGAAGAGAGACTTTCTCTCCCCTGTCCTTCTCACTGTTTCAATGCCCTTTCTCTGAGAAATACACCAAAAATGAGCTCCAGACGATTTTCAGCTGAAGAAGTATTATCGCAGCTTATGAACTGGGATAGTGATGAAGAGGAAGAGATTTCAGAGACAGAGGATCCTTCAGAGCCAGAGGACAATGCTATTGATGATCCAGATTATCAATTTTCCCACGATGAGGAGGATTCAGAGGACGAGTCTGCCGGTTTCCCTTCATCAGATGAAAAACAAGAAACGTCATCCACAGAGGGGACATGGACATCTAAAGATGGTAACGTAAAATGGTCAACATCACCACACCAAAGCCGAGGCAGATTGTCATCATCAAATGTCATCAAAATGACTCCTGGTCCGACAAGATTTGCTGTCACAAGAGTTGATGATATTGAATCAGCATTTCAGCTCTTCATATCCCCACCCATAGAAAAGATAATCCTCAACATGACCAACTTGGAGGGGAGGCGTGTCTTTCAAGAAAAATGGAAGCCACTAGATCCAACTGACTTGCATGCTTACATTGGAATTCTGGTGTTAGCTGGAGTATACAGGTCAAAGGGTGAAGCAACTGCAAGTTTATGGGATGAAGAGAATGGAAGGCCAATCTTCCGAGCAACAATGTCTTTGGAGACATTTCACATGATCTCTCGTGTGATCCGATTTGACAACCGTGACACCAGAGCTGGTCGACGCGAGAGAGACAAACTTGCAGCGATCAGAGATGTCTGGGATAAATGGGTCGAAATCCTGCCTTTACTGTATAATCCTGGCCCCCATGTTACTGTCGATGAGCGCCTTGTTCCATTCAGAGGACGCTGTCCTTTCCGACAGTATATGCCAAGCAAGCCTGCGAAATATGGCATCAAAATATGGGCAGCCTGTGATGCAAAATCCAGTTATGCGTGGAACCTGCAGGTATATACTGGAAAGCCACCTGGAGGAGCACCTGAGAAGAATCAGGGAATGCGTGTGGTATTGGAGATGACTGAAGGGCTGCAAGGTCACAACATCACCTGTGACAACTTCTTTACATCCTACCGTCTTGGAGATGAACTTCAGGAGAGGAAGCTGACTATGTTGGGAACAGTCAGAAAAAATAAACCAGAACTTCCCAGTGAGATTTTGAAGATGCAAGGAAGACCTCTGCATTCCTCAAAATTTGCTTTCACGGAGAAAACAACACTTGTTTCTTACTGCCCAAAGAGAAACAAGAATGTTCTTGTGATGAGCACAATGCACAAAGATGCTTCTCTGAGCACAAGAGAGGACATGAAGCCACAAATGATCCTGGATTACAACGCCACCAAAGGAGGAGTTGACAATCTTGACAAAGTCACAGCCACATATAGCTGCCAGCGCAAGACTGCCCGTTGGCCCTTGGTGGTTTTCTACAACATTGTGGATGTGTCTGCTTACAATGCCTATGTGCTGTGGATTGAGATCAACCAGCAGTGGAATGCCAGCAAACTGTACCGACGTCGACTTTTCCTGGAAGAACTAGGCAAAGCACTTGTCACTCCCAAGATCCAGAACCGGGCCAGGCCAGCTCGAACCCCAGCAGCTGCAGCTGTCATCACAAAGGTCCAGGGCAGGGCATCTGACCAACCCACAATGGATCCTTCGGATACAGGTGCAAAGAAACGCAAAAGATGCCAAGTCTGTCCCTCCCGAGATGACAGTAAAACAAGTACCTGTTGTGTGAGGTGCAAGAAGTACATCTGCAGAAAGCACACCGTCACATTCTGTCCATCATGTGGGGAACACTGAAAATGTTGAACATTGAAAACCCCAGGAGAATGGGGCAAGTTAAATGAAAGTGTTAAATTAAGTGTTTGTGACGAAGAAAAACATGATATCAGGAGTTCTTTAATATAGTGTTTGAATTGTATATCTCTTCTTCTCATCTCTTCTTAATGTTTGTTTAATCTTAAATACAGTTCTTATTGGTTAAACTTCATTTTTGACTGTTTTGTGTGCTTTTAGACAATACGGGTCAAAATGACCCGCAACATAATAAACGTATTTTTTTCTCAACATAATACAAGGGTTAAAGATCGTTTTCGTCACGTCTTAATCTGGTTTTAGTCATGGAAATAAGGTTCGTTAACGAAAAATTATCATAGTTTTCGTCGCCGAAATGAACACTGTATTATTTATTAAAGGTACAGATATGAATATAGATGCTTTAGAATTAAACTATCCTGGAACATTCATTATAACCTTTGATTCGGTTCAAATTGGTGTCCAAATGTTTCCCCAATTGTAGACAGTAATTCATAAGATTTTCTTTGAGTATCTTTGTGGTTTCCTTTTGTCTTTTCAGGGACAGAAAGACAAACAGAGACATATTCACCCTCAGTCTGATGTAGAAGGAGGGGATGACACAGCTGTACAGGAACATCAGAGCCAGCAGACCAATCGCAATCCAGAAGGTCTCAAGAGACGGAGACCGAGGACGAGAAGAAGTTATGGAACAGAAGAAGACAAAGAACACAAAGAACACGATGAGGCCCACAAAGAAGTCTGAGACGGCCAGAGAGAGGAGGAGGAGGAGGGTGGTGGGGGTGAGGAGCTGCCTTCGAAGAAAGGAAACAACAAGCTCATCATTATTGTTAGCAGCTGTCATATCAAGAGATAAAAGCAATTATATAAGACAAATAAACATATTTCCAGTCAAGTCCGAGAGCCATTTTTTCCACCATTTCTTCCTATCTACCAGCTAAATAAATTGATAAAATATCTGTATACCTGAAGTTGGGAGATGGAGATAATGACCAGCAGGTTGAGAGTCACAGTGAACAGAGAGATGGAGGATAATAAAATGTAAGTATGCTGTGGCAACCCACGGGCGCAGCACTCTGGACAGCGCCTCAAGAGAGCAGCACAAAGGGCAGGGGCACCAACGAGCAAGAGGTCAGGTGACCAAAAGGGGAAACACCCCGCCCCCTCAGGAGACAACAAGCGAACCAGGTGCAGCTCATAAGGCTGATGAAGGTTGGCCTGTAGTTGTTTTCTTCAGAAGGGTTGAGGGTAGGTTTCTTCAGGAGGGGGTTGACTCTTGCCTCCTACAGAGAATTGGGAAAACAGCCAGATAACAGAGCGTTGTTGATGAGACAAGTGAGGAACGGAAGAAGGTCAGGTGCGATAGATTGTAGAAGATGTGATGGAATGGGGTCAAGAGGGCAGGTGGTCGGACGGGCAGAGGTTACTAGGGTAAGAATTTGGTTAGGAGAATTTGGTTAGGACTTTACTCATTGCTGAGCCAGAAGAAACTCTGCATCCTCTTTTGGACCAGAAAAATCAATTGATACCAAATGGTTTAGCTTTTATAAATATAATATGAAACTTACGATATGACATATTCAACTATTAACCATAATATAATCAATAGGCCTATATCAAATCAATAATTCATCAACTATTTTTGGTATAAGCATCAACAATTTCCTATTGTTTTCATCTCATATAGTGGTTAGTGGCATAATGATAATCAAAAGTTATTTTCATGGGCTTAGTTGGGGGTTTGCTGTCTTGTCTTGATTTAAGAGTTAGGTAAGGGGTAAGCAGGATCTGCCAAGCAGGCAGACACGAGTCTGACAGGATGGGGAGTCAGTTTCTGTCCTGGCTGAGGAATGTAAGGTCTGCGGGTCAACTAGAAGATTTACCAGCCAAAGAGGGGTTAGAGACACACCAACACTATTCAACATACACACTCTGTTTACGATGTTTACGTTAAGTCAGGAGTCTGGACATTGGATGTGACCGGATCTTAGATGCGGGAGGTGGAAGGTCCTCCTCTACGCCAGTTTAGGGCCAATAGAAATATTTCCTTCTCTGTCTTTCAAGGGTTATAAAACATGATGTTCTTGCTGATGTTAGTTAGTTGTTCTTCCGGCCTGTGTGCTGCCTGAACTGCTCCTGCCTTTGCAAACGCAGCGCTGATACTTGACCTGTGATCTGACAAATAAATTTTCCAGAACGAGAGAAGTCATTCGGCTGAATTTTTGATAACCCCGACCAGGCTCCAAATCTTGAACACGTATTCTTACAATTTGGTGACCCCGACGTGATTTGCTGACCTGGACAAAGAAAGACGGGGACGTCCGTTTTCCGGACCGAGCCGAAAGGACCGGCGGCGTGGTTCAGCATTGACAACAGGCGCGCAAACAGAATCAGGTGAGCAGACAACCTTTTGTTCTAAATGAATAAAATGTCTGTGATTGGATACTTCTAAAAAGATTTGTTGTCAACTGCAGAATTCGTCTCTGTCCATTGACTGAATAAGGTCGTTATAAGATCACTAAATTTAAAACTAAATTTGAAAATTTCCTGTTGATCACATGTAAAGTATAAGCACATACTCACACTGAATTCAACGTTAGGGAAAGTGACTAAGTGTCCATAGGTTTAGGGATTTAGGTAAAAATATATATACTCTTAGTCTGTAGAAATCCAAGTTACAATCCGTGTGGTACGTAGATACCTCTGGTAACTGCAGTCCCACGTTTGCATGCAGTGGACTGGCAGTTTAGAATAGTGTAGGGGTTTAGGTTTAGGGACTTAGGTAAATATATGAAGAGTTTAAAAAGGAACGACGGGGCTCACTTGAGTTCCCTGAGGTCGACTCTTAGTCTGTAGAAATCCAAGTTACAATCCGTGTGGTACGTAGATACCTCTGGTGACTGGGGTCCCACGTTTGCATGTCGTGGACTGGCAGTTTAGAATAGAGCAGGGATTTATGTTAATCTTAGTCTGTAGAAATCCAAGTTGCAATCCGTGTGGTACGTAGATACTCTGGTCCTGCAGTCCTACTCGTGTGATTCTTGGACTGGCAGGTTAGAATATTAGATGAAGAAATAAGGACACAGGGAAAGATTTGTTGTTTTTCATACTGGGAAATGTGTGGGTGGTTGGTGTAACTCCTGGTGTTTTACCGAACCTGGAAGCTGTGCGTATCAGGACTTGAAAAAGGACTGAGAATCCGACAGTGAAAAGTGTTTGACCGGATTACACATCTGTGGGGATATGTATTAAAGGGTAAAAGGGAAAATCATAGTTAAATGATGGTGGTATAAATACGAGAGAAATAAAACAATACGAGTGAACTGGTGTTATAAGCCTCAACAATCGAGCGCTGTATTCCTCTAATACAGTAGAAGGTTCTTGATTGGGTTCACAGTATTGGGCATTGAGTCCTTTCTCTTGTGTTCAAAAACCACGTGTGAATAAATAAATAACCTGTGATGAAAATGGAGGAAACCATAACGATATGGGAGAGGTGTAAAGAAGGCACTCTGGGTTTCGCCCTATTTAAGACTTATAAGAGACATATGGATAAAACCCTAGAAAAGATAGGAAATGTGTAACAAAAATATGTGAAGTGGGTTGCACAGATGCAGGAAAGAGGAATGTTTGGAAGGGAGACAGATTCTCAACCAACAGGCGAGCAGCTGCAGGACCATCTTAGGATGGCGAGAAGAGGAAAAGATCAAGCGCATGCGCTCCTTGCCGTTAAGGGGAGATTTTGTGGAGAAGAGAAAGTGCATGAGACCGGTTGTAAATCTAGTGCGCCTCCTCCCTACTCGACAGGCCCATATGCGGAGGCTAATCGGTTGTTAAATTAACCACATCAGATGCCACTGAGGCAAGGGAAAGCTACTAATCCAGGAGAATCTCAGGTTTTGGTAGTTCAAAAAGGGTTGTTACAGGTAACTCCATATCCACATGAAGAGAATGATGGGGTGGAGAAGGTTTCTGCTTTTCTCTCAGAGACGCTACAATATTTGGAGGACAGGCCCCAGTTGGAGCCTGTCGATTGGAGTAATCCTAACACACCACAGGGTCACTCGACAGTCGTAAAGAAGCGGCAACCCGAGCACAGACCTATGACCTCATTTAATGTAGGGGGAGGAAGAGTTGCAGGAGAAGAAACTTTGTTAGTCATAGCCCAGGCAGAGCGGCAATCAATCACCCGGCGTGGACAGGATGAGCGGGGGAGGCAGGTTGAGTCAGAGGAAGATGAGCCTGTCACTGCAGATGATTGGGACGAGGAATTTCAGGAGCATGGAGCAGAGCTAGAGTAAAGCAGAGAGAAGGTGAACCAGGGCAAGAGTGAAGCCAAACAGATGACCCAAACAACAGCGCCATCTCAGGGGGAAGGGCCACCTCAATATGACCCTTATCCAGACCCCCCTCCCTTCCCATGTGCGCCAGCCTGCCAGCAGCCACAACAGGCCGTGTACACTCCTCCACAGGCTTACTATCCCCAACCTTATGCCCCGCAACCACAACACATGATGGGGGCCCCACTGTACGGTGGCTTCAGGCAACCGAAAAGACAGTGGGGAGGGGGAAATCGTGGCCGAGTTCCAAACAATTTAGGGCAGTTTAGACAATGACAGAATACTTGTTTCAGCTGTGGGCAGCTTGGACATTGGTCCGACGCATGCCCCCATCCACCTCAGGGTCAGAGGCCTCAGTCCAACCCAGCTCAATACCCTTATGATATCTATCCACCACAAGCACCACATACACTACAACAGGGTAATAGCCTGCGGCATCAGGCCCCAGGTCATCAGCAAATGCCATAGGGGTGCCCAGATCCGACGGCTGACGGTAACCTGTTCCCAGAACCCATGGTGACTCTGACAATCAACGGAAGAGACATTTTGTGTTCCCAAAATATCATTATGCAAATGACGAAGGGATGTATCACTGTAACATTCCCGGATGGGACACAGCAACGATGTGCCACACCCCACTCTTATGGCCACCAGTTGCTGCAAGCTGAAGTTCAACAGACGCTGAATGCAGAGGTCTGGTGGGGGAGAGTGGAGGACTATGATCGAACTGTTCTGCATGAGGCTGTCTGCCGTTGGGGCCCATGGTTCAAGGTATTACACCCGACTGAACCACCT